ATAGCTGAAGTTTTGTCACTCTGTTCATTGATATTTGCCTAAGGATTTCAAACTATTCTTGAACAAAATGCAACCAAGTTTAGCAGACTTTATGAAATACTTCAATACTATTGGAGGGCATAGGTTGGTTTACAAAATTCTTCTTCAAAGGCTCACACATTTCTAAAATCTGATGTCTGGCAGCAAAGCATACTGTCATGTTGTTGTATCCTTTTGTCTTGTACATCATCTTCACAACAATTTTCTAGATAATTTACAGTAATTCTGTATATATAAAATATTTTTTCAGTTCTAACAATATACCTCTTTGAATACTATTATTAATTATATGTCTAACACAAACAATTTCAAGCAGTTTCTCTGCTATGAGTTTCTTAATTTAGAAAGAACATGTTTATCACTACTCTGTACACCACCAAAATTTGTATTCATATCACCACAAAACAAAAATAATGTTATCTTCAATCTTAAACTTTTAAATTGACACAGTATTATCAGATGTTTCACATTTGGCAGGACAGGCTAATAAAAATTGCTTTGATTCCATGAATTGGGTGAAAACATTGGCCTATTCTTGGTATTAGCTGATTTTTCCATTTGGAGCAGCAGATGACACTGAGATAAAACTGGTTTTGTTTAACTGATTGCAAAGACCTTCAGCTAATGGAGCCAACCCATTAAGAGTTATTGCTTCACTTTCTGTTTGTGCACAAGAAAACTTGTAAAAGTTCAACAAGTGAAATGAACTTATGAGAGTCTTTTAATCTGAGTAAAGTCAAGTTTCAGAAACTGCATACCCCTTCTATAGTTGCATGTGTTAAATTGTCACATTTGAGAACAGTCTTCTTAAGATGAGTACAGTCTTTTGAAATAGATGCTGCTGCTTCTTCAGGACATTTATTTATTACGGTTTTCAGATAATCAGTGATCTCAACAAGTCTCTCCCCACTCTTTGAATAGTATAGGTTGATAATCACTTTATGCAAGTTATGTATTTATCACGAAATTTCTCAGAAAAATCCAGTACTTAATTGATCATTAAATATGAATTTTTTTGACTTAATGGTGTAAATTAGTAGCCTAATGATTTCATTCTTGAGACTATTGCATAAGCCAAGGTAAGGCTTCTTAGTGTGCCATGTGGATGCCAGATGCCATTGTTAGATGGTCTCCCAAGATCTCCTGCCCGGAAGGAATTAGCCACCCTTAGACACTGACTGTCTTGGCACACTTCATTTTACCAGCAAAGTAAAATGCATGCTGTGTACTGTTTCTGAAAGGGAGATGTTAGTTGCATTTTGTCTGGATAGGGTAGAGCAGGGGGAACAGAGACCATTATGGATGGACATCTTTCATACCGAACTTGGTGTTAAATTGAGAACTCTCTTCACTGCACATGAGTCTCTCACATTATTACAAGAGACCTTGGCAGAAGCTGAAAGCACAAAATAGATGCATACCAAACCTAATCCAGTATATTTTAATACTGCTATTAATAATACTTTATTAAAAATGAAAAATCAGAGGCAAACATAAATAGGGCCTTTGGCGACAATATTTTTTGATCCCTTCACTCCCCATCTCACTGATGCTTACCTAGTTTTTAAACCTTCAGACTTGTTTTCAGGTTTTTAAATGTATGCAAAATAATCTCATGCTAAATTGAGTGGCATATCTAAATATCCATACTTATTTAATGAATATCACTCCTTTCTTTTAATTAAAATCTTTGTTAAGGGAAACAATACTCCCTTACATTGTGCATCTTTTTTGTGTATTTCTGAAACTCGAAGGGAGGGTCTAGAGAAGTTTTCTTTCACTCTAGATTGTTTATGGCCTCTGTACTTTATTATTGGCAGAAGTTTGAAGAATATAGATTCTTTGACACATTTGAATCTTACTAAATCAGAATTCCAACGTTCCTACCAGGAATTTGCATTTTTAACAAGATCCACAGATAATCCTGATGCAGAAAGACAAATGCCACTGCTTCTTGTTTTCTGTAATGTAAATCTTTGCAAGATAGAATTTTGGATTTATTCCTGCTAAAACAAAGGGAGAACACACCCAAAAAATGAACTTATGATTGATAGAGATTGGGGTGTCTGGAATGGTTGGAAATTCTGGCTAAAGAGGTGTTAGAGCTGTGGAATTCCAAGAAAGACACAACCCACAAGAGAAAATCATCAGTGCTTGCATATTTTCATCTTTTGCCAATAACTTTTTCTAATTGAGTCTTTGGGGAGGGAAGAGTTTAATTCAGTATGCTATTGAAAGGGAAGAGTGGCAGACTGCAGTGAGATTTGAAAAAATACTCTAATAAAAGAATATTCTCTGTTCAATTTCCTTTCATTGAGGCAGGCTTAAGATAGAGCCCAGCCTGCTTCCACAGTGCTGCTGAAAATCATGATGTCAAAAATGCTGTAAGATTCTGAAAGCCAAACTAGCTTCTGTGTTTTCTATCTCTCCTTGGGATTCTGGAAGCTACAAATATGAAAAAACAGAGGAGGCGGCATAAAAAAGGGAGCTCGTTTTCTAACTACTGTTGTTTTCCCTAATAAATCACATTACTGTACACTGTGCCTTAAAGAATTCCACTCAATGGTTCTCTTGCAGATTCCACACTGAATTATTGAATTATATATCACCAGTAAAGTGAAATTTGAGAACCTGTAACAAACAATAATGCAAGCTGGTAATGTTAAATATACCAAGGGTTCATATACTTTGGTGATTAACTGAATTCCAGATACAATTACAGATCCACATTGTGCTGAATATCATGGCCATCAGGTGATTAGATTAAGTTTAACAGAAATAATTAGAACAAGATGAAGGGGAAGTAAAGGACACAACAAATAGAGCTAAAGCAATGGGCAGGCAATTCTATCACATCAAATCAAGTACAGGAATGGGCTTCTGTTAGACATATGGAAACCTTATAAATAAACCTAGGGCCTTATCACTCTTAGAAAGATTAGAAGTTCTGTACTCATTCACCTAGTCAACCAATCCATCCTATAATTAAACTACTTATCCTCTGAACTTTATTTCGTACCTTGGGGCATCAAATTGAATAAGAAGTACTCTGAACTTAACCCCCTGAGCCTATACTTCTAAAGATTTGCCTTGGATATCTGACATCATGGAATGGAGAAACACCATGGACTTTGACGTTGGATTTCAGAGGTTTTAAACATTTTTTGACCACCAATTACGCATCATAGGCCTGCGCAAGTCTTTTAACCTCTCTCAGCCTCAGAATTCTCTTCTGTAAAAGAATACTTAATTAACAGCACTTAATTCCCAGGATTTTAGAGAGTAAATGAAATAATGCTAATTGAGTACTACCCAATAAACAAATGTGCCTTCCCTCTCTATCCTTCCTTATGGTAGATTAGCAAACCTGAGACTCTTGATAATTATTTGCAAAGTCAGTTTGCATCTCTCCATTAGAAGTGGTGAGTAATTGATGAGTCCTATTTTTAGTGCTTTTCCTCTTGAGAGAATGAAAGAGAGAGAGAGAGAGTTAAAGTGCTTCCAGTCAAGAGTAAGCATAAATTACACGGCATGACTCAAGATCAATTTACAACATTAATAATAGTTGTGTGATCTGTCATCATGTATTACTGCTCAGCAAGAGAATACTGGACTGGAAAATTAGCAAGGTTGAAGGTGAAAACTAAAGACTCCAGGTTAACACACACAGGCCCTAGGAACTCTACCTATCTGGGAATCACTTCTACTTTCAAAGGCCTGTAAATTTGTAGCTTGAAAATGTCTGCATTTACAAAAGAAAATCATTTATACACATAGCAGGGGCAGCTGAAAGAGAAAAGAGAGAGGGATAATTTTGAGTTTACATTAAGAAAACTGAACTTCACCATAAAAGCATCTTTTATCATTTTTTAATTCTTTATTTCCATTATTAAACTCATTTTTAGGCCACTCCTATAAATTCACATATATTCAAACATATATACATATTTATACACGACTCAGGGAGAAACCATTAAACTCTTGTGACATACTAAAACCTTAAAGATTTGTGAAACCTGCCTTTTCTTTGCCATTCTTGAAGGATATAACCTATAGACTGAAGAGTCTTTAGGATGTAGAACAGGAATATTCAGAATTTTTATGTTATGAATTTAACAATTTCAAGCCAGCAGAGGGCTCCCTGCTTTAACATGATTCTATATACGCAACGTCCAGCAAGAACTGTTGGTAAGAGACGAAAGTAGCATTTAATATTTGTTATGGGCTTAAGTATTTTCTCTAACTCTGTGTTAAATTAAGAAGTCTAAAACAATGAATAAAGCAAAGCCAAGTCCCTAGTTCTGACGCTTGAGACATAATTTGTTAATTTTTCTATCACGCAAAATTTAATCTTCCTCTGCTTTTCCAGTTCGGAAAAATAGATGTGCTTCAACTCTGCATCATGAGTCCACATAGACACCAGCAATCTGGTTCTTTTAATAGTTTCACATTTTTCTCTGTTCAAAGCTTAAATAACATCTTTTAAAAATAAGGCTAACAAACTGATCAGTGTCTTTAACCCAGTGATAAATATAGGCAAAGCTCAATGAAGGACAGCATTTATTATTTTAGTGCTTATAACTTTGATTACTTAAATTGTGTCTTTAAATCTAATATTGGAAGAAGGGAAGAAAAAAATCCAACTGTTTTCAGTCCTCCCCCTTTGAACCTTACCCTGTTTATCCCTGTCAGTTCCCTTCTAATGAAACACTTGGCAGATTTTTACAATCCCAATGAATAATGTACACACAATGCCCAGGGCAATTTTATTTAGAGAGTTTTATTAACATTATTGTGACAATTTAAAATAACACAGAATTACTGCATGCTCCTCAATCGGCCAAAACAAATTGACCAAATATATTAGACATATGTATCACAAATTAATCTGTTGAATAAATGAATTCTGACAAATTCTATTCATTTTCATTTCAGTGATGTCTTTTTCTGTCATGTAGCTCCTTACGTTGTATGGTTTTCAAAGGTAAATATAGCCTTAGGTAGATAACTAATCTAATACATTTTTATGACAATAAATATGTATCTAAGCACAATTTTAGCAAACAGCAAACAAAAAGTTGTCAAATCAATGCAAATGAAATCTTCATTCCTTTTACTGTTTTTAAGTTTTCTCACTTCCTCTTCTTATACCCATTGGCTTAGATGCTACCAGTGGATATAACATCATTATATTTGAAATCATTTGCTTTCAACCCTAGAAATAAAGGAAAGTGAGTGTAGCTGACTTTAATTTTAACAGGAAATAATAAATGTGGAAAGCAAGCAAGAGTAAATAAGTCTATCTACCTTTCATTAAAGAAATGGTTCTTAGAATCATTATGTAAGATAATTATATTTTCACAGGCAGTAGTAATATATTGTAGTTGTGGACAACTGATTAAAACAAGAGAATTGTGTACAAACTTATGTTATTTCCAAGGGCCAGAGGCAAGTTGTTTTATGCTTCTTACTCCCCAGAAAGCAATGCAGATGGAAAAAAAAATCTGAAGAAATGAAACACAAAGAGGAAAAACAATTAAAATTGAATCAATACTTTTGTTCAGCTGAGTTAAAAATATCTTTATAGAGGAAAGTGAACATAAACATTTTAGACAGTTAAATTATTCAAAATGAATCTAGCAGTTGTTCACTGATAGAATTTAGGCAACCCAGCTTAAAACACATTATGTGAAGACAGGAGTGGGAATAAAAAGTTTTGTTTCTGTGGCTTTTTTTTCCTATATTCACAAATCTGGGTCATTTCTAGGGATGTTATGTAAGTTAGCTATTGAATGGAACAGAACTGTCTTCTGGCATTTGGGCATACTGCATGTTGTATGTACTGTATTAAATCATCTCATTGTTTATATAGTTAAAGAAGCCTTTGGAAAAGGAGAAATAAAAACATTATTAAGGAATCATTCCTCTCTGAGGCAATGTGATCTAGCATATTATGAACTTCACCCAACATGAACTAAATTCTAAACATTACTGCTGACTTACCTTCTCAATTTTTTGATCTTATCAGGTGTAAAAACGTAACTGTAAAATCCTCTTTAAAATTGAACACATAGGGCCTGCCCCGTGGCTTAGCAGTTAAGTGCGCGCGCTCCGCTACTGGTGGCCCAGATTGGGATCCTGGGTGTGCACCGACGCACCGCTTCTCCGGCCATGCTGAGGCCGCGTCCCACATACAGCAACTAGAAGGATGTACGACTATGACATACAACTATCTACTGGGGCTTTGGGGGGAAAAAAATAAAAGGAGGAGGATTGGCAATAGATGTTAGCTCAGAGCCGGTCTTCCTCAGCAAAAAGAGGAGGATTAGCACGGATGTTAGCTCAGGGCTGATCTTCCTCACAAAAAAAAAAAAAAAAAATGAACACATAAATAAATCATAATAAGCAGCCATAAGAGTTCATTGAGTTTACTCCTTTGATTTCAAGTAACACCACACATTCCCAATAAATCACCAAAAATTAGCCAAATAAAACTCTTGATTTCTAATGATCCCAGTAAAAAGGATTATATAGTCATCCTCATAAGAATTCAAGGTTGCAGAATTTTTAATTATGCATAATCTAAATGCTATAACGCCATAATGCACATATCTTTTACTTCTCTCGAGGTAAGCCAAGCACTAGTCATAGTCTTTAACCATCAGAGCTTTCCTAAGCCAACCTTTCCCATGACTTTTACCTATGCATTAAAATTAGCTATAGGATTGCTTTTATGATCTCCATTTTAGGTGTTATTATCATGATGATAAAAGAGAGCAGTGCCCAAACAGCTGGGGTTATTAAGAGAGCTAAGCAAGAGTTTCTCTATATTTTTTTTATTGTGCAAACTTCCTCTCCAAACTATTAAAATATGACCAGTTGCTTCTCCCCAGGAAGAAGATCACTATTCCTGAAAGGTCCATAAAAATATACAAAGGAGCACATTTAAGTAATAAGATGGAGGCTTGGGGAACATTCTGGGGTGATGGACTAAGATGAAGCTAAGGCCATTAACTGAGGCCAGCCATTAATTCACAGAAAATACTTTGAATTGTGGTGATTTTGCTCCTAAAGGCTACTATGAAAAAACAACAACAACAAAAAATCCTCCTAAACATTGATATTTCAGATGTTATGGGTAGTTTGTTCAGTTTCATATGAACCTTCTAGTTCTTTCTAGAGAATCATTATCCTTCACATTTGCCAATCTGATCATTTTCTTCAAATCCATGCATTCCTTTCAGCCTATAACATCCCCAATATGAAAAAACATACCAAAAATAAAATCAACAGTTGTATTGAAGCAGAAGTCAAGAATAGTATTAACATTTTGGAGTTGCCTCAGAAATCAAATACAATATATTTAAAGGCTGATTTTGATTTTGTTTCTTTTGACTGTAATTCAAGAAAAATGACCTCATGGGATTTCTCATGATGGTGCCAAGTAAAATAATACCAAGATTGGGGAGTATTTGTGAAAGCCCTTAGATTGTACAACAAATTGTATTTGTTTATGAAGATAGGTTAAAGTTGACAGAGGGACAGCTGAGAAGACAACTTTCAAGTGGGACAGAGGTGATAAATCTATAATATCAGGATAAACAGTTTAATTTGGATTCATAATATTCATTAAGCAGCTAATAGATACCTTGGGTTGTATAAGGTACTGGAGTCTGAATATATATGGCAATAGAAGTTTTTAACTGGCTTTGAATCTAGTGTCTAGGGTCATAAGAATTATTTCCAGAGGTGAAGACTGGGGAATATGATTTCAGTGAAACCTCTAAAATTGTATGTAAAATTTTGTAAGTATGTCATAATTTTTCTCTTCCCCACCCCTACCCACTGGACTACCCATATTGTCATGTAGGATCCCAGAAATATTAAGAACTTCTGATCTAACAAGAGAGTGAAAAAGATTCAATTCAGTTCATGCCTTCCTTGTTAATCCACCATTTCACGTCTAAATCTTTTCACTTTTGAAACTGTAATTCAAGTCCTATTTCCTTAAGGCCCACCCCTAACTAAAAAGCAAGGATCTTGTCTTTTCCAATTATCTAAAATGCCTTTAGCTTTTTAACAAAAAATATAATGTTTTACAATTTGTAGCTTTATTGTGTTTCTCTCTGTTTGTTTGTTTGTTTTCCAGGCCCCTATGTATTATTCCTCCAAAGAGATGGCGGAGAAAAGCTGAGAAAGCATCGGGGTCAGAATCAGATTCAATACTAATGTGCACTGAGCCTTTTGCTGAGGCCGGGCATGGTTCTAGGTACCTTTACCAGATTATGATGTTTAATTCTCATGACGAACCTTGGAGCATTCGTATCCAGTTTGCTGATGAGACAAGGGAAACTCAGAATTTATGTGGTTTACCAAGAAATCACAAAGCTACTAAATATCAGTGCTGGGATGATGTTTTTTGTTTACTTAATGCCCCCCAGACAATCTAACTGCACATCCTGGAAAGTCAGCTTAGTGAATATGAACATCAATAGTGAATTCATTTCCTCTTTTTTGGTAATCACCTGCACGTGCCTGGTGATTTTTGAGTCAGTAACTGCTAGGTTTCTGAGACCTTTTCAGAATCAATATTTTACGCATAAATCAAAGTTTTTATATATAAGGAAATCCAGATTGGCACAAGATCATAGAAATTAAATACAATGAATACGTCCTTCTAAAAATACGCATGACTTTGAAATATTCACCTTCTTCCATTAGAAAATAAGTAGGAAAAAACAGATTTGCTTGAATGTATGCGTGTGTATGTATGAATATATATAATAGATCTAAATATACATTTCACATATAATTTTAAGCTAGAAAATTATTTAACATGGACTCATATAACCACTTGATTATTACAGTCGTTCCATTTAAAATTTTTCCTTGTCCAACCTTTCTCTTAATTTTTGTATTAAGCTGTTCATTTTAGTTCTCCAGTTGATAGTTGATCAGATTAAATGCATCATCTGAGATAACTGTTCATCAACCATCAACTATGTATTCAGTGAAGCCGGGAGAATTACTGCTTAGGCTAGTGTAAGAATAACTGGCGACCACAGCGGGTTTTTTTGCAGTATTCTTCTCTAATCTATAGATGTGATGTTTCTGGATATGTACAAACTCAATGAACACTTATTTTATCCTAGGTCTGGGCAAGTCCCATGATTTTAACAGCTGGATTCAAAATACAAAACAGAGGAAGTTCACTCTTGGTGTCAAGCCCTCCTTGTGCTAACACATCATTAGCAGCCCACGTCTTCAGGCTATTTCCTTGACTTCCCAGGGTCCTCAACTCTGATGCCTGAACTTTGCCCCGTACATTTATTCCACTCCCTTCCAAAAAGTTCATCGATTGGCAGGTGGCTAATCTGAGCTACTAATCAATACTAAAGTGCCAGTGGGAACTGATATGTCATTCTGCTGCTCTTCTCCATTATGTCTGTGTTTTACGAAGCTTTATTAAAAATGGCTCCACATATGAGCAAATCAGGCATCTAATCCTAAAGGAGAGAGAACAGTATCAGAAGAAGTATTTGTGTGCATGTGGCGTCTCCTCAAACTGCTACCCCTCCAGTTACAAAGCTAGCGGATTGTTCTTACACCTGTGTACATATCTGTCTCTGTTGGTTTGAACCCACCTACTACATTTATTAATAAATGACCTGATGAGCAAAGAAAAACAAATATCACCTTGAGCAGTGGACAACTTCCATTAGAACTAGCTAGCAACATCACATACTTCTCAAATCATTTAACCTTTAGATAAACTTGCAGATAAAATGAAAGCTTTCAAGTACTTGAAAAATTACCCACAAGAGACATAAAATCTCTGTAATAGCTGAAATTTATTTTGATTCTCAAACATGTACTTATTGTTATAAACACTGAAAAAGATAACACTCACTGAGCTATAATATTTCACTTTATGCCTATTCACAGTGGCAGTGTAATGATGTACACTAAATCACTAAAAAGTTGAACGAACAGATTAGAAAAGCTAAGTCATTTTGTAAATGATGGGTAAAGTTGCTTGCTAAATTCTACCTTGCCAAGGAAGAAATCTGAGATATTTTAAATATGAAATAGCATTTTTGTGAAGATTTGAGACTTAATCACTTTCAAATAATTAAAAATATATATATTACCATTTACTCCCTTGAGTAAATTTTCAGGCAAATTTAGACTTTTGCATTGATTTCCTAAAATTCTCCTGGAATTGATGTACCTATTTTGCAACCCTAACAAATCATACCCTGCCTATAAATGGGAGAGTGTATTTTTACCTAAACATTACTTCTCTGACATTGATGAGGTTCTGATAAGGTTCATAAAATACCAGTTAACTGGCTATTTAACACAACTATAACAACCACAACAGCAACAATTTGTTTTAAGGGAAACACATTAAACATATAGAAATTTCTACTAAATTATTTGGAAAAAAATAAAACCAGTTCTTTGTTAAATATACTTTTTAACATAATATTTTATTTTTTAA